AAATTGAAATTAATGAATTTGGCAGTACTTAGTGAAAATCTTGGTAAAAATTAGTGACAGAACAAAGCAGTGCTGTTACCTACCATGGAGAAGCTGTGGAAGAGTCTTGCAAAAGAAATAACTTTTCCACAGGTGGCACTACAGGTTTCAGACAAGGACTTCAGGAAACTAGAATTTTTTTTAATAACAGCAAATGAAGAAACCTAGACTAATAATTTTTATGCTAACAAATATGCTAGTTCCAGTACAGATTTTGACATGAATCTTGAATTAACTGAATGTGATGTAATAAAATTCTGGGTATGTGTATTTCAAGAAGGCCTAATTCCTAAAGACTTTGTGGTGACCTTTTATATGGAGAATGTTAGTTTCTCATTTATTTTTTTGTTGCCTTTGAGTCAGTGTTGACTCCTGGTGACTGCCTGGGCTAGTCCTTGCAGTTTTCTTGGTAAGGCTTTTTTGGAAGTGGGTTGCCATTGCCTCCTTCCTAGGGCTGAGAGAGAGTGACTGGCCCGAGATCACCCAGCTGACTTTGTGCCTAAGGCAGGACTAGAACTCATGGTCTCCCAGTTTCTAATCTGGTGTCTTAATCACTACTGTACACCAAACTGGCTCTCACTTTAAAATGTACTTGATATATTAATTATAACATTTAAAGGAATAAAAGAAGCAGTAGAAAGGAAGGAGGATTATCACTGTATGTTAAAAATATCTATTCCTGCTCATAAATTGAAATTAATGAATTTGGCAGTACTTAGTGAAAATCTTGGTAAAAGTTAGTGACAGAACAAAGCAGTGCTGTTACTTACCATGGAGAAGCTGTGGAAGAGTCTTCCAAAAGAAAATTGTAGATCTTTCAAAAAGATATAAATTCATAGTGATGGGAGAATTAATTACCTCAGCATCTTTAGGGACATAGAGTTTGCCAGTCATGGTTCTTCCAGGAAATTCCTGATTCTTAGTGATTGGTTCCATGCAGTTTTCTTGGCAGTGTTATAGAAATGGTTTATCGTTGTCTTCCAGGATTTTTTAAAACCTTCACTATCTAGGCTGACCCTGTTGAGCTTCCGAGATCAGCCAAGGTTGGCTAGAGGCTGCCATCTTTAGCATGCTATAAGGAAAAAAAAACTTTTCTAACTAGTAATTTCTAAGCAATTTAAACTTTTATTTGCCTTCTACTTTCTATCTCTGAAGTGAAATGATCTGCATATAGAAAAATTCACATCTTAGGATCTGATAACCAGAGTTAGAAGAGAAGCAAGCAGAATAAAACAAAAAACCAGTACAATATCTGGTTTCTACATAACGTTGCCAACATAAACAAAAACATTTTACCTGAAATAAATTAAAATTATAATGCACTATATTATCTTTATTTCATAGACTGAACTGAGCCATTAGCTAGCTGAACAGGTTGTTTAACACCTGAGTTCTTTTTCTTTAGGTGTAGTTGATGTCCTCAAAGCAATGGATGAATTGGAGGTGAAGCCAAATACAGACACATATTTAATATATGTTTTTACAAATTTGGATAACCTCGACCCTGTTCGCCACTGGATTCAGGTGAGTCCATTTGTTTTAAGATTTCAGTACTTAAATGAGAATAACATTCATTGAAATTTCTGGGGCTGTATAGGATTGAGATGTAAGACTTTGATTCATGATTTGGAAGTATGTGTACAGTGGGGCAAAAAAGTATTTAGTCAGCCACCAATTGTGCAAGTTCTCCCACTTAAAAAGATGAGA